ATTAATCTGCTTCATTTATACCTTACTTTCCTCCCCAGCAGGGACCCAAGGTGACTTACATTGTTCTGCCCTCCGTTTTATCCTCACAACAACCCTGTGAAGTAGCCTAGGCTGAGAACGTGTGACTCACCCAAGGTCACCCAGCGAGCTTCCATGGCAGAGTGGGGATTCGGACCTGGGTTTCTCAGCCCCTAGTCCAGTGATGGCGAACCTTTTAGAAACCGAGTGCCCAAACTGCGACTAGGGTTTGCCAAGTCGTACCTTGTCCTGAAGTGGGGGACTCTCGGGTTGATCCCGGAGCCCGCGCATGCGTGCATTGCGTGCGCACCCCGTATCCACGTCACCAGGAAGTGACACGACCACGCCGGGCACGCTGGGGGCGGGGCCACGACCATCCAAGGAAAAACCATAGAGTTTTCCCTCGGATGACTGTGGCCCCGCCCCCAGCGTGCTCGGCGTGGTCGCGTCACTTCCTGGTGACGTGTACGTCGGGGTGGAGTTCCCCTCGGGGCCCGATCCGGCGGCGGCGAACGGGCCTCTGGGGTGGGGTTTTCCCCACCCCCGGGGGGACTTGGCAAGCCTAACTGCGACCCAAAACCCACTTATTTATCACAAAGTGCCAACACGGCAATTTAACCTGAATGCTGAGGTTGTACTTTAGATATAACAACTCATACATTAACTTAAGATGATCCAAACAAAGTAAGGGAAGCAATCCCAAATGCTTTCATTTACTCAAAATTATTTGGCAGAGAATTCGACTCTTTAATGACGGTCTGGGACTGGCTGGGGCAATGGCACGCGTGCCCACAGAGAGGGCTCTGAGTGCCACCTCTGGCACCCGTGCCATTGGTTCGCCACCACTGCCCTAGTCCAACACTCTAACTGCTTCTCCATGCCGGCACTCTCTTTTTATTTATAGCTGACCCCACCGCTTCTGAGCTTTACTATTCAACAGGATTGCAGATCTGTACTACTGCCATGCTGACAGGGGCGGGGCTGTGGCTCAGTGGCAGAGCATCTGCTTGGCATCCAGAAGGTCCTCAGGTTCCATCCCCGGCACCTCCAGTTAAGGATCAGGTCCTACGCAATGCTCCCTCGAAGCTGTGGAGTCCTGTGAGCAAAAATCCTACTTTGTGAGCTCCTGACATTGCAGTTGTGAGCCAGGGATTTGGCTACTGCATAAATTAGTTTGCTCTGGAGCTGTCCCTCCTGAGCAATGACAAAAATGTGTGAGCCAGAGGCTAGGAAACTGTGAGCTAGCTCACACTAACTCAGCTTAGAGGGAACACTGGTCGTGATATGAAAGACCTCCGCCTGAGACCCTGGAGAGCTGCCGCCAGTCTGAGGAGACAACACTGACGTCGAGGGACCAAGGGTCTGATTCGGTGTACAGCTTCGTGTGTTCATGAAAAAGAAATGTAAGAGAGGGGGGTACACTGGTTAGAGTTCTGGACCTGGATCCACGAAACCCAGGTCGACATCCCCGCTCTACAGAGAGGACCTTCTATCAGTTGCACTCAGGTCTCTGCCTCTCTCCTTTCTTGGCAGAAAGTGCCACCAGGTCACAGCCGATTTATAGGGACCCCATAGGGAAGTGGTGGCAAACCTATGGCACGGGTGCCAGAGGTGGCACTCAGATCCCTCTCCGTGGGCACGCGTGCCATCGCCCCAGCCAGGCCCAGACCACCATTAAAGTGTCGAATTCTCTGCCAAATAGTTTTGAGTAAATGAAAGCATTTGGGATGGCTTTCCTTACTTTGTTTGGATCATCTTATGTTAACGTATGAGTTGTTTTTTTCTAAAGTAAAACCTCGGTATTCAGGTTAAATGGCCGTGTTGGCACTTGGCGATAAAGAAGTGGGTTTTGGGTCGCAGTTTGGGCACACGGTCTCTAAAAGGTTCGCCATCACTGCCCTAGGGTTTCCCAGGCTAGGATGTTCAGCGGAGGTTTGCCATTGCATCAGTCTCCATGGCAACCCGGAACTTCCTTGTGGGTCTCCCATCCAAGGACCAACCAGGGCCGACCCTGCTTAGCTCCCAACATCTGGTGAGAACAGGGAAGCCTGGTCCATCCAGGTCAAGGCAACAGATGAAGAGAGGCGATCGGCCCTTGCCTGCCTCTGCGTAGCAAACCTGGACTTCCTTGGTGGTCTCCCACCCAAGTACAAACCAGGGCCGACCCTGTTTAGCCTCCAAGAATGGACAAGACCTGGTTAGCCAAGGCCATCTTTTCCTAGACTCCGCCAACCTAGCCATGCTGATTCACGCATTCGTGAGTGCACAGTTGGTTGGGTTGCTGTTAAGCATTCTCTCCCGGGCTGCCCTTGAAGACTACCCAGAAACTGCAACCGAGTGAAGACCAGCCAACGGGAACGTAGGTTGCCCATTTTAATACGGCTTCATCGGCTGCCAGTTTGTTTCCCAGTTCGATTTAGGGCGCTGCTTATGTCCGCGTAGCTGCGGTGGTTCAAGTGGTTAAGACACTGAACTGCAGGCTGTGGAAGGTCGGTCGTTCAGCAGTTTGAGACCCGAGTGTGCCGCATGACGGAGTGAGCTCCCGTCTCTGGTTCCAGCTCCTGCCAACCTAGCAGTTCGAAAGCAAGAAATTGCAAGTATATGAATAGGTACCACTTCGGTGGGAAGGGAAGTGCGTTCCGTGCGCCTTGGTGTTTAGTCATGCCGGCCACATGACCACGGAAACGTCTTCGGACAGCGCTGGCTCTTCGGCTTTGAAACGGAGATGAGCACCGCAACCCTAGAGTCGGACTCGACTGGCTTTCGAGCAGGGGAAGCTTTACCTTTTAACGGGTAACTGTGTTAGGAAAATAAAACAAAAATCCAGTGGCATCTTAGAGAGTAACAACGTTTGGTTCAGAACAAGGTTTGAGTCCAGTGGCACCATTCAGACCAACAAAGTGGATTTCTGGGTGTAAGCTTTGTCGGTCTTCAAGGTGCCCCTAGACTCAAACTTCTTTCTGTTGCTTTAGACCGACACGGCGACCCCACCCGAACATTTGCTTCGATATGTGCTTCCATGAATCAGCAGCTCCTGGGAACCAACTAGATATTTTTATTTCTTCATATTACTTATAGTCTGCCTCTCTCCCTGGGATCCAAGGTGGACTACACGAAGTATTCCCAGTAGTCATGTATGGCTGCGAGAGTTGGACTATAAGCAGGGGTCTTGTTGTAGAAAAAGAGCTGCCGGAGCTCATTAGCATAACTCATTAGCATAACTTATTTGCATATGCCACGCCCCCTGACATCACCGGAAGTGACAGAAGGCCACACCCCCTGACATCACCGGAAGTGTGTCAGAAGGCCCGGCTACTTACCCTCCTGCTTCATCCTCATTCCCAAACGGAAGGAGGATCGAAACAGAGGGCGGGGTAAAGAAGGGGGCGGGGCTTCACCACGTGACCGCCCCGCCCCCTAGAGGTTCTCTTCCGGAGCTCCGTACCTGAGAGCTCCCCCCCGACTAGAGCCCTGACTATAAGGAAGGCCGAGCGCCGAAGAATAGATGCTTTTGAACTGTGGTGCTGGAGAAGACTCTTGAGAGTCCCTTGGACTGCAAGGAGATCGAATCAGTCAATCCTAAAAGAAATCAACCCTGACTGTTCCCTGGAAGGCCAGATAATGAAACTGAAGCTCAAATACTTTGGCCACCCAATGAGAAGGGAGCACTCACTGGAGAAGAAGACCCTGATGCTGGGAAAGATTGAAGGTCAAAGAAGACGGGGACGATGGCAAAGGATGAGATGGTTAGACAGTGTCATCGATGCAACGAACATGAAGTTGAGCCAACTTCAGAGGACGGCGGAAGACAGGAAGGCCTGGTGTGATCTGGTCCATGGGGTTGCGCAAAGAGTTGGACTCGTGCGACTGAACAACGACAGCACACGAAGCGAGTCAATACAATTGACGCATGGGACGTTCAATAAACAAACAACACAATAGGATTCAGGTGGTGGAACCAACCAGAAGTCTAAAAAACACCCAGAACCGAAGCAAAGCCTCAGCGCCAAGAGGTCCATCAGTGACTATTAGCCACAAGGTATAGATAGGGACTCTGTTCTTGGTGCTTGGGGGGGGGGCAACAGTGGGAGGGCTTCTAGTGTCTAGTGTACTGCTGGACCTCCTGAGGGCACCTGGTATTTTTGGCCACTGTGTGACACAGAGTGTTGGACTGGATGGGCCACTGGCCTGATCCAGCATTGGCTTCTCTTATGTTCTTATGTTCTAGTGTCCTGGCCCCACTGCTGGACCTCCTGAGGGCACCTGGTATTTTTGGCCACTGTGTGACACAGAGTGTTGGACTGGATGGGCCTTTGGCCTGATCCAACATTGGCGTCTCTTATGTTCTTATGTTCTCATGACACCTGGAAATGACACAACATGACTTCTTTTAGAAGAAGCGAGCTATAGCTCAGGAAAGCGAAAAACTGAAATAAAATGTCGCCAGTCTTCAAGGAGCCTCTGGACTTCGGGGGGGGGGGTTATTTCTCCTTTGTTGATCTCCTGGCCAACGTTGGGGAGGGAAGACAGGATTCCCTTGCGATGGACCCTGTTTGATCCTCCTGCTATTCACCAGTGACAAGATCTAAATATGAAAATGATGCTTCCCCCTTCCCCGTTTGGCATGTCCCGCCGCTGAGAGAGGAGAGGAGGCCAGTTTGCAGTGGGAAATCCAGCCTCCCCTTTTGTGGGACAAGTGTGCGCGCCACACTCTCTCCCCGGGATGGAGAAAGGATCAAAGGGAGGAGGAGGGAGGTGAGAAATTTGCTTGAAGGTGGTTGAATTGGGGGTGGGGGTGGGGTAGGGACCGGTCAGTGCTGGGAGAGCCGGAATGGGAGGGGGCAGCCCTATAAAAAGGACCCCTCGTGCCTTTGAAGTGGGAGAAAGGGGGACACCATCCGTGTCTGCAGGACTGAGCCAGCCAGCCAGAAGGTCCGCGCATTCTTCCAGCAGACGGTCCATCCTCGGGGGCTCCGCCAGTTATGAAGATGACGAGCCAGAAATGGGCAAGCAAGGAGGACAAGAAGGTAACGGTGGCGCCCGGCCTGGTTTGGCTGGGGGTCTCCGAAGTTTCTGCTCTTAGCTCCCTTTTTTGGGGGGGGGGAGGGTGATGGAGGGTTGCCAACTCCAAACTGGGAAATTCCTGGAGATTGGGTGGCAAAGTCTCCAGAGGGTCCTCAGAGGAGGAAAGAAAAGCTCCCGGTCTCCTGGCTTTCTGCAAACTATTGTGTAAGACGGAATTATACCTCTTCCGCTCAGGGAATGAGGTGGTGTTAGATAAAATCAGTGTTCCCGCTGAGTTAGTGTGAGCCAATTCTACAAAATTCTACTTTGTGAGCTACTGGCATTAAAGTTGTGAGCGAGCGGTTTGGCTCCTGCATACATTAGTTTGCTCTGCCCTCCGTTCTGAGCTGAGACAAAAATGTGTGAGCCAGAGGCTAAAAAAGTGTGAGCTAGCTCACACTAACTCAGCTTAGAGGGAACATGAGCGACCTCACAGTTTTTTTAGCCTCCAGCTCACACTTTTTTCCCCTTGAGCTCAGGAAGGACGGCTCCAGAGCAAACTAATTTATCCAGTAGCCAATTCACTCGCTCCCAACTTTCATGCCAGTAGCTCACAAAGTAGAATTTTCGCTCACAAGACTCCACAGCTCAGAGGGAGCACTGGGCAAAATGGTTCATCAGCTTCCTTGGATAAATGATTGGGACCAGTGTTCCCTCTAAGCTGTGTTCGTGTGAGCCACCTCACAGTTCTTTAGCCTCCGGCTCACACACTTGTATCTTAGCCCAGGAAGGATGGCTCCAGAGCAAACTAATTTTATGCAGTAGCCAAATCGCTGGCTCCCAACTTTAATGCCAGGAGCTCAGAAAGTAGAATTTTTGCTCACAAGACTCCACAGCTTAGAGGGACCACTAGTCTATACTGCCGAGTGCAGCTGATAGCCAGTGGGGCCCTATCCTGTCATTCCTATACCGCTTCATGTGTGATGTTGATACTTAACGCCCTGCTTCTGTTCTTCCTGGTGTCTCCAGTCTGAAATCCATAATGGATTGCGTGAGAAAGGCAAAGTATAAATGATGTAAACAACAAAATAAATAAAATAATGCCATACTAATGTTCCCACTAAGCTGTGGAGTCATGTGAGCAAAAATTCTGCTTTCTGAGTTACCGGCAGTAAAGTTGTGAGCCAGTGATTTGGCTACTGTGTACATTAGTTTGCTCTGGAGCCATCCCTTCCTGAGCGAAGGCGAAAATCTGTGGGCCGGAGGCTAAAGAACTATGAGCTGGCTCACCCTAACTCAGCTTAGAGGGAACACTGCAGTGGTCACCAGTGTTCCCTCTAAGCTGAGTTAGTGTGAGTTCGCTCACAGTTTATCAGCCTCCGGCTCACGCATTTTTGCCTTCGCTCAGGAAGGAGGGCTCCAGAGCAAACTTATTTATGCAGCAGCCCAATCACTCACTCACCACTTTCATGCCAGTTAGTCACAAAGTAGAATTTGTGCTCACAAGACTGGACAGCTTAGAGGGAGCATTGCTGGTCACCCTCTGAAGTATTTTCTGCAGGGGGGCGGGTATCAGCCGTAGTTCCAGGACATCTTCAGGCCCCACCTTGAGAGGTTGGCAACTCTAGGAGAGGCCTGAGTTTAACACCCCCCCCCAACTGGTGCTAATAGCAGACTCCTGGCCTGGTCTGGTGCAGAGCAGACTGTTGGGTTTTCTGTCTCAGAATCTCTCTCCCTTCTTCTCCTCCTCTCTCCTGGCGGCTTCTGCGGCTCTCGCCTTTCCTGTCTGCCATCTCTCTCTCTCTCCAGCTGCTGAAGCCCCTGATGGAGAAGCGGCGGAGGGACCGGATGAACCAGAGCCTGGACCGCCTCCGCGTCTTGCTCTTTGAGGCCACGCAGGACGAGGTAAGGGAGGGAGAGGCCCCCCCCTCCCCAGTGCCCAGAACATTCCCCCCCAAAGCAAATCGTACAAAGGAAGATTTTGTTTTCATCCCTCCTTCCCCCACCCTTGTTTTTCTCTCCCCCCCTCTTCTCTTGTCTTGTTTTTTTCCTTTGCAGAGACTCAAGAACCCCAAAGTGGAGAAAGCAGAGATTTTGCAAAAGACGGTTCAGTTTCTGAAGACGCAGCCTTTATCAGGTATAATGTTTCTTGTATCCTTTCTTTCTTAAAAAAGAAAAAAAAATCAATCCAAGGAATCCGCAGGCCTTCAGGGGAGACGGGTAGGGCTAGAAGACGAGCTCAACTCTCTTGTATGTAAGGTTGCTTTACACTAGTGGGTAGGGTTGCCAACTCTGGGTTGGGACATTCCTGGGGACTGGGGAGATCTGTAATCTGGAGATCAGTTGTAATTCCAGATCTCCTGGCTCTACCTGGGGGTTGGCAACCGTGCGAGTAGTAAGGGCCAAAGCCTTTTTAATGCTTTTCTCCTGAGGAACCCTCCTGCATAGCAGAGAATTTCGGGGACTGTTCTAGTCTAGAGACTGGACAGTTCTAACAGAGTATTAGCAAGTCTACCTGGATTTCATCACAGTTTAGAAGCTAAGCAGGGTTGGCCCTGGTTGGTACTTGGATGGGAGACTGGGTGGTGGTTTCTGGAACACACCCGGCACTCCCAGTATTCCCTCTAAGCTGTGGAGTCTTGTGAGCAAAAATTGTGAGCCGAGACAAAACTGTGTGAGCCGGAGGCTAAGAAGCTGTGAGCTGGCTCACACGAACTCAGCTTAGAGGGAACACTGCTCCCAAAGTGTTGCCAATGCCAACTCTGTGCTGGGGAGGGGGGGGTTGGGAAGAGGAGAAAAAGGGAGGGAGGGAGGGAGGGAGGGAGGGAGGAATGTTCCCTCTAAGCTGTGGAGTCTTGTGAGCAAAAATTCTACTGTGTGAGCCACTGGGCATTAAAGTGGGGACCGAGAGATCTGGCTGCTCCGTAAATTAGTCTGCTCTGGAGCCCCATCCTCCCTGAGCTAAGACGGCAGATGTGTGAGCTGGAGGCTAAAAAACTGAGCTGGCTCACACTCACTCAGCTTAGAGGGAACACTGGGGGGGGGAAGGGAAGGAGC